TGGTATTCAGTCGGTTCACACCGATTCAGGTGAACCGGTTGTTAAATTACTTACCCCCACTATCAAAGTGGATCCTAGGCACTGTGCTGCACTGCAATGGAGAACTGGACAACAGAGCAGCCGGCGCGAGGGAAAGAGAAGGCTGCTTTCCCTCCTACTTCCCTTGTGCCAGCCATTTCATTGCCCATTTCTCCATTGCAGCACAGCGCCCAGTATCCACTTTGATAGCAGGGAGTGGGTAATTTAACAACTAGTTCGCCCAGGGTCAGGTTGGCCATCACAGGAGGCTTGTCCCGCATGTACAGTGGAGCTGGAGGACAGAGATGGGCCATGATTCTGATGACAGCCAACCTGAATCCTGGATGAACTGATTGTTAAATTATTTGAATCCCACCACTCTTCTTTTGGGGGCAATACCAAATCTCTCCACTGCTGTGCATATAAGTTAGCATACAAAGTTCAATAAGTTTGCTCCAACATTTCCTCAATCAGTACCAAAAGAAATATTTATGGTTTCAGTTGTATATTAATCTTGAAAATCTTCTGCATTAATGTCCCATTGGGTGCTTTTTTCAAAAAGGTAACTGGACTTTCTTGATTTTTTCTTTGAAAATGTTTCACTTCTTCTCCAAGAAGCTTCTTCAGTTTATAACTATAACTGAAAATTGGAAGTTGTTCCTTTATAATGCTTTTTTTTACCTTTCTGCACTTTTGACTTTGTTCTTAATTTTTTTTTCTTATCTTTATTTTAAATATTAGTTTCTATTAGTTTTTAATCTCTCTTGTTAAAAATATTATTAAAAAGAAAGTATATGTGTGCTTCAAAGTACCCAGTTGGTTAATCGAACATACAGGTAGTCCCATTTGTTTAGTGACCATTCAAAGTTAAAATGGAACTTAAAATAGTGACATGACTGGTCCTCACATTTACAACCATGACAGCATTCTCACAGTCATATGATCAAAATTCACGCTTCTGGTATGGATTCACTATGTTTTCAGGATCTGAGTGTCATGTGATTGTCATTTGCGGCCTTCCCAGCCAGCTTCGACAAGCAATGTCAATGGGGAAAGGTGAATTCATTTGATGACTGCATGGCACAATTAACAACTACAGTGACTCATTTAACAACCATGTCAAAAAAGTTGTAAAATTGGATATGACTCACTTAACAACCATTTTACCAAGCTATAGAAATATCTGTCCCAATTGTGGTAATAAGATGAGGACTACCTGAACATTGTTGAAATTGAAAAGCTTGTCTTTGTCTACCATGTGCATTTTAGTCAATATTATGTAAATGTAATGAAACAGTGCACTGTCAAAAAGGAGCATATTTGCTGGCCATAATAAATAATTTTAATAACTGTTCTACCATATATATACTTGCTTTTAATAATTATTCCTGAAATGCCTGGCCAAATCTCTATAGTGAGCACTTTTGGGAACCCTGTTCAAATAGGTCCATTCTATTATTCCAGGAAAAAGATTAAAGGTCATAAATTGGTTTATTTAACTTTATCAAGATGTATCTGGAAGGACTTGTTGCCTAAGCCCCTATTTTCATGTGTATACTGTACATTTGCATAATCAGCATGATTTTTTTAGTTAAACTGACTATTGTTAAAATAGTGAAACACAAAAGAAAAAGTCTATAATGAATAATAACAAAGTAAGAAAAATAATTGCATTTTAATGGTTAAAACATAACAAAGAAAGTCAAAGAATAAAAAGTTCTATATGATAAGTATGATAAATCTCTGCTTGAAATCAATTGAGTCAATCACCTTTCACAGTAACAGTAACAGAGTTGGAAGGGAACTTGGAGGTGATCTAGTCCAACCTCCTGCTCACGCAGGAGACCTATACTAGGGATTCGAACCGCTGAACTGCTGACCTTTCTGATCAACAAGCTCAGCGTCTTAGCCACTGAGTCACCTGATCATTATGTGGACCATGTGCCATTGAACATAAAGATTTTTTTAAAAATAGAGAATAAATGTATATCTCAGATACCTTAAAATCAGAGCAACGACTTTCTATTATGAAAATTATTTTCTTTGCTGTAACAAATTGACAAATTCCTTATTTTAGAGATATTCAACACCACATCCCAAATTATATTAACCTGCATATTAATTTGAAGCCAAACAAATTTAAAATAGAACCAAATCATGTAAATTAAAGAACTTTCAAATGTCTTATATCAGCAACATGAAAATTTAACATCCATCCATTTTTAAGGATTTTTAATGGTTCAATAGACCAGCGGTCACCAACTGGTGATCCGTGGACCACTAGTGGTCTGCGAGATAATTTTGGTGGTCCGTAGAAAAATTATTTGCATTTTTTATATTGCACCAAATCAGGGGTCCTCAAACTACGGCCCCTGGGACAGATATGTGCAATGAACGCTTGTGTTACTGTAGAGAGTCTCCCCCTTCAGGGTCTTTTTGTGTGGGGCAGAGGGGGGCAGAAATTCTGACTTGGGGTCTGCTTCAGCCTCCTGGTGCAGGGCTTTGGGCGAAGGCTGGAGAGAAGCATCGCTGGTGGCAAAGAGCCAGAGGGCCTTGTTCCAGTGGGACTGCATCATGGCCTGGAAACAGCTGCCATCTCAGCTGCTGAGCCTCCAGGTACTGGCATCTGGCCTTGCACTCCCGCAAGTCTTCCCTCTGCTTGGAAAGCCTATGCTCATAGTCCTCAGTGAGGTGCTTCTGCTGAGCCTCCTTCTCGGTCAGATCCAATCTGAACTGAGCCAGCTGTTTTGCCAACTCTTTCTCATGGTGGCTGCTTAGCTCCAACAACTGCTTCCTGTTGGGGCCCTAAGGAGCCCAGGCGGACAGGTGAGGAGTGGCTGGGAGGGGTGAGTAGAGGCCGGCAAGGTGGCCCTTGATGTGAGTGACATCAAGTTGGCCACGCCCAACCAGTCACATGACCACCTAGCCACGCCCATCCAGCCGATCATTAGGCAGGTCATATTAGTGGTCTGCAGGATTTAAAATTATGAATTTAGTGGTCCCTGAGGTCCAAAAGGTTGGTGATCCCTGCAATAGAACCAAAATAAAGTTTCTGAATAATGAATTTTATTTTTAAATCAGTTATATTGTACATTTTTAAATACATGGCCTATTGATATGACAAAATTGGATACTCCTGTACTAACTTTCATTTTAATTTTTAAATCCTTATGAAATTCAATTTTAGTTTCCATTCAAGCACAGTGTTTCTTAGCTAAAATTGCAGGCTGCTAAAGCACTGGAGCCACATTGCTTAGATAATATACAGCATGTTTCAGCTATCTATATTGCCAAGCATATGTTGAAGGCAAATTGGCATAAATAGAAAACTAGTCTCACACATATTCTGACTTCTTATTCATAGGTTTTTTTTTTTTTTATCAATCTGGAACTTTCAAAAGAAAATCCAAGATTGAGTTGGGATAAATACTGATTCAGATTAAATGCCATAGGGATTAAGTACAGAAAGAGATAAGCTATGTTTTATCTGTTCAGCGTGAATTTCAACTGGAGATGTCGCACACACACACACACACACACACACACACATTCAATCCTGTAATCCAGCTTCACCAATATAGAAAATCATGCTTTCATCTTTACCATTCAACTGTTAAGCAATTTATGTAAAGGGCCAGATAAAGTGGTTAGAAGAATGAACACAAATCAGAGCATCTGCCATGTAAACAAAAAAATCTATCCCAATTGTCATATACAAATATTATTTTTAACCATTCTGCCAACCCACTTTTATTGTGTTTGGTATTTTCTTCCACTTTGCTAACAGAACACAATATTTCTAAAGGTGTACATTGACATTTTAAGACTGAAATATTTCAGTCTCCCATTCTCCAAGTCTGGATTGTGTAGGACTATTCTTTCTTGGAAGTGTTCTGACTATGAATGGCCAGTTCTGAAAGTGAAATACTTACACAGAGAGAATACTTTTTCCTTGAATGGGAATCATGGCACAGATTGAATATTTATTGTTATATAATTTAGATAAATATAAATCACTGTAATCATGTAGTTGAGTTGCATTCATGTTTTTCTTTTTAGAAATGGTGAAACAGCATATTTATTTCAGATGTGTGCTCAGTTTATTTCCAAGCCATTTGTAAAATAATCTGCTCAAACCTGTGGTTAACAATGATTTTTTCCATTTGAAGCTAATCTAGAGCCAGAAAGCAAGCAAGGTGGAAATAAATATGGAAGCTTTAGAGAGGAATTTGAGAAAGAGGGTCATTCTTGCTAAATGACTATTGACACATTACCATACAGACAATGCCATCAAAGTGGAACACAAAAAAACCTCAATTTCTATCTAAACTCAGGGCAATAGTTACTCCAGTAGCAAATCAGGAAACATTCTAATGCATATAGCACTTATTTTTCCTGATATGGTAAAATTCAAAAACACAATTAACTCCTTAATATGTTCATATCCTATTCAGACTCAAAGTGAATCTGGGGGAAAAATACACTTCCTTGAAAGAAGTGTGATGCTCATACATCACACTTCTTTCAAGCAATTGTATCTTTCTTTCCAGATTCCTTTTGAGTCTGAATAGGATATGAACACATCAAAGAGTTTTTTGTGTCTTTTCTAAATATTTTCCAAAGCATGCCATTATTCCATATCTTTCTGTCTGGCACGCAGATAACAGGTTGTTACTACCAGTGGCAACCATGAGTAAATAAAGGTCAAGATGGGTGCCACAAGCATGCAACAGAAGCCCTACCCTTTTTTAACCTGTGTAAAAAGGGTGGGTCTTTAATTGTGTGGTTGGACTGCCCATCCTGACTTTTTTTGACCTCCTGTAAAGATCCCTAGTTGTCACCTTCTATATAACATTCTTTCAAACTTTTGAAAAAAATCTCCCTCCTCATTTTGCTTGTCTTAAGACTAAACGTTCCTTGTTTCGCTAGTCTCTCCTTGTGATCAGCGTGGTGAGGGAGTCCAGACAAGAAACATAACCAAATGGAGTAATGCTACTTTATTGTAAGGTTACGTTAATAGAATCTGGCAAGTCTGAAAATGCATTTCTCCTCCATTGATTTCACACTGCAAGAAACAAAAGAGCCTAAATTGCTTGTAATCCAAGGGTCTTCAACTCCCATGCCGCCGTTGACTACTGGGATGTGGCCTATTCAGAACTGGTGCGTGCATTTGCAACTCAAGCTGCGCACACATGCGTGCCAGCCCACCACTTGCGCAACTTGAGCTGTGCGCACATGGTCAGGTACACCAACCTCCCCTGCTCATGTAGCCTGATTCTCCTCTCTCCCCACAGCCAGGCTGCTAAGAGACAATGGTTGGGGACCACTGCTCTAGTTCAAGTATCCTCCTGGCTGTGGCTCTTCCCTGCCTTTGCAAAATACCATCATGCCTTGTGATACTGAATTGTCCAGTTGCTTGTTTATCTTCTTTACCCTTATCTGAACCTAATTCCAGTTTCTTGATACATTTCTTGGTACACTACAGGTAGCCCTCATTTAGATAGCATAACTAAGACTAGCAACTTGGTCATTAAGTGAAGTGGTTACTAAGTGAAACCAGAATTGTACTTATGATCTTACTTCAGCTTTCATTTCTATTACAGGCATGTGACTGTCATAAATGTGAGGATTGGAAATACTTTTTCCATCACTGTTGTAACTGCAAACAGTTCTTATGCAAGGCAGTTAAGTGAGGACTAGCTCTGTGCAGCTTGCCTAGCAGGTTCACCTTTCTAAGGTTAAATCTAAGTGAATCTTGTTGGAAAGAAAGGCTTCACGATTTTTTTTTTCCTCCCCGGTTTTGTATGCAGAGATAATTTCTGTACGGCGATAATAAAAGAGCTCTCAATCAGGTGAGTTCTCATCTGAAGTGGTTCAGGCTAGATAACAGGTTTGCCACTTCTGAGAAGAATCTGTTCCCTAAAATTTCATCAGTGAAAGCGTTGCAGAAACCATCCTCCAGGCACCATCTAGTGGTAAAAAGAGAAAGAGGATTGTTGAGGGGGGGGAAAAAAACATTACTGGAACACGAAGAAATACACACTAAGGAACAAGGGGGGCGGGGTGGGGACCTTTCCCAGGCAGGATTCCGAGAGTGACGCTCGTTTTAGAAAGCTCGTTCAAGTGGATTAAAGCAAGAGTAGAACAGGCATTGATTCTCTGGAGCGAAAGGGCGGGGCGCGTTGTACAACGGCATAGACATTCGTGTCCAGGCAAACGGGTTTTTAACTAGGCGAAAGGGAAAAATTCACAAAGTTTGAAAAACTGTGTTTTTGAACAATATGTTGATCGTCACTTAAGGGGTGACGTTTAGAAAAGGCTCTATAAACTCTTCATTAATCCCCAACAGAAAGGGGCCAGCATCCCAGAGCTCACACTCGGTCTATTTTGGCGCGCACTCGTGTGTGTGTGAGTGAGTGTGTGTGAGAGAAAGAGAGACGCCTTTGAGAATGGGGCAGAGCACTACACGCGCGCGCGCACTCACACGCCCGCAGCCCCTTCGCCTGGACGACCAAATCGGAGTCGACGCCGTTTTGTAATTCTCTTTGTTTCTCTCCGGATCGAAGCCCCCTACCTCCTTCCCGCCACGGTTCCATCCGCCTTCTCCTCCCTCCAGTGACATTTTCAGGAAAAAGAAAAGCGGAGCAGCTGCCCGGGGAGGCATCACCCGCAGCAGCAGGGTGGGTTGCTCGCCTCCGTGGTCTGCCGCCCGCTCTCAACACCCGCAGCAGGAGCCTCGGCGGCTGGGAAGCCCTTGGCTCCGCTCTTCAAGGCATGCCGGGCATCCGCTGGAGCTGGGAAGAAGCTTGGCCCCGGCAACCCTGCCCTCCGCCATCCGATCGCGGCAGCTCTCCTGCCTGACGAGAGCCGCCGCCGCCGAGCTCTTTCCTGAGGGGAGGAGGAGGAGGAGGAGGAGGGAAGCGGCTGCATTGAGTTGCCACCAGACGGAATTGCGTCGCTCGCTGCCCCCCCCCCCGCGCTTCCCACGTCTGCCGCTGAACTTGTTGCAGAGGGGAGAGCAAGGGGGGCTGGCCAGGAGCCGCCTCAGCGCCTCCGCACGAGCGCCGCGGGAGCCTCGGCCACTTTCAGGTCCCCTCCATGCCCAGCGAGCGCTCCGGCCGGACTTCGCCCTCAGGTAAGGCGAAGGGAGGGAAAGACGGCTGAGGAGGGCTCCGTGCGTGGGCTGGTGGCTGGAGCCCCCCCTCGAGGCAGAGGCCTCTTGGATCCCCCCTTCCAAATTTACGCCCCCTCCCCTCCCTCCCCTCTATCGCGGCTGATTCCGTCTCCACCGCCAGAGCTTTGGGATGCAGCGGGGCAGCATCAAGTGGCGGGGAGAGTTCGAGAGGGCGCCGGACGAGCCCGGGCAAGGCTGCCCTTGCAGCTGGAGAGAGGGGCGTCATTGGGGAGGGGGGTGGGTCACTTCGGTGCGTAAGGTGGGAAGCGGGAAGCTAAAGTGAAATGGCTCTCTCGGTCCCTATCCGGGTTTCTCCATCCCGCTCCCAAATCAGTCCTTTGTCCTAGCCGAGATTTCTGAACTAAATTCTTGCCTAGACCCTTTGAGGTCCAGAATAATCTCCTTGTTATTTTCGACTGCATAAGTAGTATTACTGCTCTCACACATGCACGTGCATACGTCATGCCTTGAGTGTGTTTGTGTATGGTATAACTCAGGCTCCTTATCCCTAACCTTTGTTCTCTAACACACAGATTTAGTCCTAATCTCCACCTATAGAATTCCAACATCTCTTTAGCTAGCGATGTTTCCGGCTAAGGACTGTAACCCTCCTTTCCACCATCCCAACTGTGAACATTGCACCTAACGACAGCTTTATTCCTAAATCAAATGTATTTGAACATTCCAAACTTTCCATTTTAGGATTCCTCTTATCTACTCAAGACCAACTCTCAAAACATTTACTCCTCTATTAACCAACCACTTTGGCCATTCTCTCTGCCATCCTAAACTTCGCTTCCAGCAACTTCTGAATTTTCGTTCAGGATGAAGAACCTGACTTTTGCCTTGGTTATAGCTAACCTCTTTCATAGGAACCTCCCTCCCAAAATTGTTCTTTTCATCCTTCCCTTTTTTGCATGTTTCCCACAAGTGGTTGTTCTGTCCAGTTCAACTGTAAATTTGGATTTCCCCTCCCCCGTCTTGCTGTTCCGCCTTAATTTCTGCTTTTCAAAATTCACTTCATTTTTACTAAGAAGGCTTGCAGGATTCTTTGTGAGCTAAGCTGTTTCTCAGCTTGCCTTTTCTTTATTCAAGAAAAGCTTCCCTGTATCAAGTTAGTTCTCTGTCCCTCTTCCTTGCTTCTTTAGTGCAAGAGCCTGGAAAATAGGAGTGTGTAGTATGAAGTGATGATCATTGGGATAAAGGGAATCAACTGTAAATTGGAAAAGTGACATCTTCACACCTTCTGCTAAAAATCTATGATTTGCAAAGAGATGTAAGTAGACATCCTAGCAGGTGTTCTTTCTGTAGCACTAGCCTAAGTATTCAAGAAAGAAAGAAAAATCCATTTTTTTTCTTCTCTCCTCAGTTCCCAAACAACTATTTGCAGCTGATGGTTGTAGTAGACAAGTGGGAGGAATGTCAGGATGTCAGAGCCTTTCCCAGAATCAGAAAAGAACAGAATATTGCTGAGTTAGGAATTGTCTCTTGGTTTGATAAAATTGCTGACTGATTACCACTCCCTGGATCTGACAAGCTAGCTGATCTGCTCTTGCAGACAGTATATTTTGCTGCATTTTTGTGCATGTTGATCTTCCCTGATTTCAGTCTACCTAATGGAGAAAGGAGGTGCTTGGTGTTGATCAAAAACATAGAACAGCTTCTCATGCTCCACAGTTGGTTAACACCTTAAAGCAAATATTTCAAATAGTGTTAAGCAATGGGAGAACCTGTTATTTGGGAAGGGTTACAAGGAAAGAAGATGAAAAAAATAGGGTAGATTTCTCTGTCATACATAAAGTGTGGGCCCCTAATCTCTTGCTACATTCTGTGTTTCCCCTTCCCCCTTCATTTTAGAAGACTGGATTATTTCTAAAGAAACTACCCAGCAATACCACCACCAGCAGCTTCCGTAATGGCAGCAGGAGTAGCAGCATGGCTGCCTTTTGCCCGAGCAGCAGCAATAGGATGGATGCCAGTGGCCTCCAACCCTATGCCAAATGCACCTAGGCAGGAGAGGAAACGTAGTCAGGATTCTCTGATTGTGCTGAATGTGAGTGGCACCCAGTTCCAGACCTGGCTGGACACCCTCGAACGCTATCCTGATACCCTTCTGGGCAGCTCAGAGAGGGACTTCTTCTACCACCCAGAGACACAGCAATACTTTTTCGACCGGGATCCTGACATCTTCCGACACATACTCAATTTCTATAGAACAGGAAAGCTACACTATCCCCGTCAAGAGTGCATCTCAGCCTATGATGAGGAGCTGGCCTTCTTTGGTATTATCCCTGAAATCATTGGCGATTGCTGCTATGAGGAGTACAAGGATCGACGACGGGAAAATGCTGAACGCCTTCAGGATGATGCTGATCAGGATAAGGCCAACGAGTGCCATCTTCCTTCCATGACAGCTCGAGAGAGGATGTGGCGGGCCTTTGAGAATCCACACACCAGCACACTGGCCCTGGTTTTTTACTATGTTACTGGCTTTTTCATTGCTGTTTCTGTCATTGCGAATGTGGCGGAGACTGTGCCCTGTGGGATGACTCCTGGTGCCATCAAGGAGTTATCCTGTGGAGAGCGCTACGATGTGGCTTTCTTCTGCCTAGATACAGCCTGTGTCATGATCTTCACTGTTGAATATCTCTTGCGCCTGGTGGCTGCTCCCAGCCGGTACAAGTTTGTCCGTAGTGTTATGAGCATCATTGATGTCGTGGCAATTATGCCATATTACATTGGTCTGGTGATGACCAACAATGAGGATGTCAGTGGAGCTTTTGTAACCCTGCGTGTCTTCCGGGTCTTCCGGATTTTTAAATTTTCACGCCACTCACAGGGTCTACGCATCCTGGGCTACACTCTGAAAAGCTGTGCATCAGAGCTTGGCTTTCTCCTTTTTTCTCTCACTATGGCCATCATAATCTTTGCTACAGTCATGTTCTATGCTGAAAAAGGTTCGTCTGCCACCAAGTTCACCAGTATTCCTGCTGCTTTCTGGTATACCATTGTTACTATGACCACCTTGGGGTAAGTGCATATGGTTTTATATCTATTTATGTGACATATAGATAATGTACATTGTTTTCTGGATTATCTTTACCTGTTTTTTAAAAAAAAGTTGTGAAAAAAAAAGATGATGCATAATTGTGCTCAATTGAGGAAATGCTTATGATCCTTTTATGATATGCAGAAGATGCCAATTCACTTTCTCTCATGTAAATAGAAAATATTGAGAGCAACAATTATGACTTCCCTTAAATTCTAGGATTGCTGTAAATTTTGTATTTTTTTCTTTCACCTATTCAGATATCGTTGTTAAAGTTTCTGTGCAAGTTTATCCTCCTATTTTTCCTCCAAAGTTGATGTAATGATGGTTGAATTTTAGGCAAAAGATAACAATTCTATTGTCCTATTATTCTTGACTGGTATCGTAAGGGACTTTATAATAGTTTATGTATTTATAGCAAAAGTGTAATTAATCTTTCACCTCAGAAGAATTATAGTAAAATAATATAAAAATTAACACAATGCTTCTCAGTTTGCTTTTTAAAATATATGTTAAAGTTGTCAACAGAGCTGATTTTGAACTGTTGCAGTAAACATTTCAAACTCACATTCAGTTTTTCATTCTGGAATTTAACTTTTGGAAATGGTAATGAATTCACCATCATGGCATTATAGGTTATTTCATGATTTCTTGCAATGTAGCATTGTATAGAAATGTCTTTTCTGAAGAAGGAATATGGTGTGAATTAAGTTTTCAAAAAGTTTTAATGGGAAATTGTTCAGCTTATGCTTATCCTTAGTATCAGAGTTTAACCTTCAAAATGACTGATATCCCAAAATGCATCTCACAGTATTATCTGGATATGACATATAGAGGTAAGTTAACTTGAAGAAGTTTATTTGTAATTTTATTCCAAATTAGTTGTGCAATAATTTACTGGGAAAGGATTAATTTCTTTTTTAAAAATGCCCATTATTACCATGGTGTGTTATGAGTCTTGCAAATTTATCTGTTATAAGTTCTACAATAACTTTCCCCATCTTATTACCCTTCAGACATTTTGAACTGCCCTAACCCTTATTCCTCATCATGGGGCATGGAGGTTAAGGAAGAAAGGGAAAAGATTTAAGTTGAAAGTATCTTGCTGTCAACTCTTATATCTTATCTTAAAATATTTATTTGGTCTTAAATAAAGGAACTGATTATAGATGTAAAATTTGACAAACAAACAAATATTGAGCACCAAAAACAAACAAACAAAAAATATTGAGCACTGAAAATATATATTATTTCTGGATCAAGTTTAGCATTTCACTAAGGACAGTGAAATAGATTTATATGAATGACAAGTCTTTCTATCTTTCTGAGTATTTCTATAAACATCAGTGACATTTCAGAAATAGGACAGAATGTAAGAATTAATCCCCATTGTGTTTTGTAAAACTTTAAGCGTGTAATTTAAGCACTATCACTGAGATCAATGGTAGCAGAAAATAGTTAATTCTGCCTTGGGGATGGATATAAATAAGATTGAAATTGTGATTATGATGATAGAATTATCTGTTTGAAATGAACCAATCTTTAATAAGGGCTAATCTACAAACTGTAATTAACACTTCAATAAAGAAAAAGGCATTGCTATGTTTGTGTGGTTGGGAAGAGGGAGAGAAAAAGTAAATATCCAGGTTTTTTTCTGTTCAACAGTTTATTTTCCTGAAAGTGTCCCTTTCAGTCACTTGTCTGCTGGTCAAGTAGACTTCTGGAGTTTCACAAAGGAAAAAAAAATATTATGACAGACCATAATTTTACCAGGTTTTTTTAATTAAAATCTTTATTAGACGGGGAAAGATAAAGGACATGCATAAAATATATCAGACTGAAATTTGAAATGACGGAGACCAGATTGTATATGTAATTTCTGGTTGGAAACCAGAGACATTTAAGTTGTGATTTAGTTAAATGTTAATGATAGCAGTAAAAGAAAAAAATTAGTCAAAATTTAATAGTGTGGCTCTAATATTTATCATAGTGTGTAAAAAAGGAAGGCCTGGCCACCAGCATTTTTAATCTTTCATTCATAGTTCTAATGTTTTATACTGCAGCAGGATGCATTTAAGTGAAATGCCAGATGTACTAGCTATTGGTCTTGTCCATGGTACTGAAATGAATATTTGGTTTTTATTTCATTGGCTTGAATTGTTTTATTTTCTTCAGGCTGAAAATAGTGTTTTTATATTGTTAGAGGACATTAAACTTTTTGTGAAGTAGGTATATGACAGGTAGGTATATTAAACAAGAATATAAACTTTGCTTTTACTTAGGAAATCAAGCTATGTGGTATTGTTTGGCAAAATATTCTTCAGGATATCTTGAAACTTAGTTATTACCCTTATAAATTAACATTTTGTATATTTTAAAATAAATGTGATAATTGCTATACACACACACACCCCTACATATAGTTATATGCAATATTGGATAATGCTGTGAAATTAAAAAAAAATTCATAAAATGCAAACTTTAGAGAAACTGTTCTTCAGAGAAACTGCTTATTTATTTATTTATTAAATTTTTATACCGCCCTTTATAAGGGAAATAGTTCTTTAAGTTATCTTTGAAAAGAAAAACAATAGGCATCCTTTTAGACTTGCATAGAAATAAAACTCAAACAAATTTATGTATCAACAATCTCAACCTTAGGGTATCTATTTCCACTGTTCACTACTTTTATAAATGCACATTTGAAATGCTAATTTGTGCAATAAAGGCAACAGTGATATTTTGGTAAAACAAGGTAAAAAAAGGATAGAACAAGAATGCATATTTTAATTGGTACATTATTTTATACTTTATTTATTTCTATTCATTTTCCCACTAAAAGTAGATAGACAGGTAAAGTTGTACTGTGTTTCATGTTTCCCATGTTGCAAACAATCCATCATGAAACATACTACCGATAGTGTTACAAGTTTAGTCATAAGAATCACTGTCATATCCACTATACTGGTAGTCCTCTATTTATAATCATTTATTTAGTGTTCAAAGTTACAGGCACTGAAAAAAGTGACATGATCATTTTTACACTTATGACTGTTGCAGCATCGCCATGGTCACATGATCAAAATTTGAATGCTTGGCAACTAATTCATATTTATGACGGTTGCAATGTCCTGGGATCATATCAGGGGTGAAATGCTCCCGGTTCGGACCAAATCACCCGATCCGGTAGTGATGGCAGCGGGTGGTTCGGAGAACTGGTAGCAAAAATCCCTGCGCCCCCCCCCCCCACACATACACACCATGCCCAGCTGAGCCGCACGATCATCAGAGGCTTTTTTTTTTACTTTTAAAAGCATTTTTTCTACAAACTCTTCCGCCGAAAAAAATGCTTTTAAAAGTAAAAAAAAAAAAGCCTCTGATGATCGCATGGCTCAGCTGGGATCGTCAGAGGTTTTTCAAAGCATTTTTTTCTACAAGTTCTTCCAGGGAAGAGGTGGTTTAAAAAATACTTTGAAAAGGCTCTGCCGATCAGGCAACACAGCTGGGATCGTCAGAGCCTTTTCAAAGCATTTTTTAAACCACCTCTTCCACTGAAGAGGTTGCAGAAAAAAATGCTTTATAAGTCTCTCTGACGATCAGGCAACTCAGCTGGGATCATTAGAGAGACTTTTAAAGCATTTTTTTCCGCAACCTCTTCAGCGGAAGAGGTGGTTAAAAAAATGCTTTGAAAAGGCTGTGATGATCTCAGCTGTGTTGCCTGATCGGCAGAGCCTTTTCAAAGCATTTTTTTGCATTTGCAGAAAAAATGCTTTGAAAAGTTTTTTAAAAAAAAAGTTGGCCACACCCACCCAGTCACATTACTCCCACCACCACCAAGCCACACCCATAGAACCGGTAGTAACAAATTTTACATTTCACCCCTGGATCATATGATTATTTTTTGTGACCTTCTGACAAGCAAAGTCAATGGAGGAAGCCAGATTCACTTAACAACTGCGTTACAAATTTAACAACCGCAGTGATTCACTTAACAACTGTAGCAAGAAAGTTCGTAAAATGAGGCAAAACTCACTTAACACTTAGCATCAGAAATTTTGGCCTCAATTGCAGTCATAAGTCGAGGACTACCTGTACTGTAGCTGCAGAACTTTTGTATGGTAAAGAATCTATTAAGAAGAACGGTATTAATTTATGAAAGTAGGAAATAGAATGAATTAGCACATTGATCTCATTCACACTCTTCTGGTTGTAATTAATTAAAACTGTAAAAATGCACCTTAGCAATTTTTTAAATATCCAACCAAACTGTTAATTAAACATTTGTTACAAACTTTCCTGTAAATTAAAGGAATATACTGTGTCATAACCAAAGATACGTAGTTTACATTGTATCTCCATTTGCAGTTTTCCCTTAGTGATTTACCCTGGTTCTTTTCATCTGTCTCTTCTAGTATTTTACCATGATGGAATTTAAGGTTTTGGGCAGAGATATGTTCTATCACGGACTAAGTGGTGATGCTAAGCATTGAACCAGGCCATTTCATATTTTACTACAAATTATTGGTTTCTTTAAAATGTACAGTTCTGTTTTTAGTTCTAGGTAGTTTCAAAATATCGATGCATAATAATAAGCTACCTAAAGAACTCTAAAATCCTGAGTAGAAGTATTTAAGCGCATATTATATTATATCCCCAAAATAGCATTAGCTTGGATGTTATTTTGTGTCTGTTGGGGACTGCGGAGGAATTGGTGGATGGGCAAACAATTTGGGGCCAAATTTATAAGGCTTTATTTATTTATTATTTATTTATTGGTTCAATTTATATGCCGCCCTTCTCCGGAGACTCAGGGTGGCTTACAATGCGTTAAGCAATAGCCTTCATACTTTTGTATATACCTGCTTAGTAGGGCTTTCGGCCCCCCCAAGCGGTGTTCTTTTTTATACAAGACAGCTTATTGCCCCCACAATCCGGGTCCTCATTTTACCTACCTCGAAAAGATGGAAGGCTAAGTCAACCA